ATTTTCCCGCCGTCATTTAGGCGGGAATTTAGGCGGATCCGGTACTGGCGGGACGTACCGCCATAATTCGCGGGTACCGGATCCGCCGAAGGCGTTCCCGCCGAAAAAACGAAAACCGCTTCCCGCCTAATAATTCCCGCCATATTGCAAAACGCCGAAATTGGTACCGCCGTACTATTGTGTTCCCGGATCCGCCCAAAAAAACCCGCCATATTGTAGTACCGCCAAAACGGTACCGCCATATCCCAGTACCGCCAAAACGGTACCGCCATTTTGCAGTACGGCCAAAATGGTTCCGCCATTTTGCAGTACCGCCAAAACGGTACCGCCATTTTGCAGTACGGCCAAAATGGTTCCGCCATTTTGCAGTACCGCCAAAACGGTACCGCCATTTTGCAGTACGGCCAAAATGGTTCCGCCATTTTGCAGTACCGCCAAAACGGTACCGCCATTTTGCAGTACGGCCAAAATGGTTCCGCCATTTTGCAGTACCGCCAAAACGGTACCGCCATTTTGCAGTACGGCCAAAATGGTTCCGCCATTTTGCAGTACCGCCAAAACGGTACCGCCATTTTGCAGTACCGCCGAAACAATACCGATAGAGTGCCGGTTAGTCAAATTGTTACTAAACATACTTCGTCGTAAGGGAAGAACTGGAGTTCATTCCTCGCCCATTGGCTTTCTTTTTTCTTTTTTCTTTTCTTTTTGTCTTTGTTCTTTTTTTTTCGGTTCGAATGTGGGTAGAAGTGCCTCTTCGGTAGAACCTGTTTTGGTCACACACCTGCTCACAGCGTGCGTGTGGTCCAGCAAAGCAATACAACAACACAACAATACAACAATGAGCGCTTCAGAGGCCAGCAGTGGCAGTGCTACTCCTAGTAGTGGTGCAGAGACGGGGTCTGCCGACTCAGTGGTGCCTTCTTCGGACACCACAGTGGATGTGGACGGCTCGGTGACTGCGAGCGATCACCCGGAGGCGGCTCCCAGCCACACAGCAGTCACGCTGGTGTTGCAATCACCAACTCAGAGACAAGCCACGGTCGCGACCGACAAAGGACAGAAAGTGACAGTCACACTCATGGCTCCTGATCACGGGAAAAAGAAGTTGACGGGTTGGTGTTGGAGGTTAGTGAGTAGATTCGAGCCGACCATCAACAACAAGAACGTCATTTGCTTGGTGAAGAAGACCGACGGGACAACCTGCAACCATTTGATGAAGTGGACTCCAGCAAAGGGAGTCAAGAAGAGAGGGTCGGGAACGTCTGGCTTGACCAAGCACCTCGAAAAGGTTCACCCGGACGAGATGAAGCACGCGAAGAAGGAGGGGGGCACCGAGGAGGAGCGGAAAGCCCCCATTCGAGCGGCACTTGGTGCGTGTAATCATTTTTTATGTTTATTTTTTCAATAATATACACGGAGTACTCTTCATGTACAAGTAGATAATAGTGGATGATGTGCTTCACGTATAGGGTTGCTGAGTGTAAAACAGTAATTATTTTATTTTTTGTAATGCATATTTGAAGTGTGTACGTAAATATTTGTAATTGTTTGCGTAAACAAAGGAAATAAATAAAAATAAAAATGAATATAATAATAATACTGCAATCGATTATTAATTACACTGATTAATTATTAATATGAATAATGAAGCGTGAATATAGAATAGAACGAATATAATCTTTTCATCTTTTCATCTTTTCCTTGTTTGTGATTTTTGGTTTTCGTTTCGTCGTTCCTTGTTTTCTTCGTTGTTGCTTCTTGTTTCTTCGTTTTTTCACAGCGGGTACATCAGCAGGCGCAGCTCAATCTTCAATGCTCAAGTTCGTGGCACCGAAGGTGCTACAGAAGCAAAGGGAGTTTGCCGACCTCCGTTAC